CAGAGAATCAAACCACTTTGGGGACCGGACAGACTCCGAAGCTTTACTCGTACAATCCGCCATCTTTGTTCGGGGCACCGTGACTTCCGGTCGGGGAGGAAGAGACCCTAACCAGGTTTCCGGGAGATGCTGGAATAGAGTTAGAGGAGAGGTTTGCGTTGGATTCTTCCAATCAGCATCCCATCTCGCCCTCTGGCGGTTTCGGGTGGCAGCCAGATTTAGTGGGACTCCGGTCATTCTCCAAGACGGGCACTGACCGTTTTCACCAAGGGATTGGGGTGGGTTCCAAATGGGGGAGGAGGGGACGGAGGGCACGGTACATCTGCTGTGCCTCGCGGCCTCCAGCGGAGTCCCCCTGTTCTGCAGAAGCAGCCGCGGCGGTGCTCCCGCCCGCCAGCAGGTGGGGCTCTGGACGTCTGGATCTCCGAAATTGAAGGGGGTTAGGAGCTTGGACTTGGGTCTTCAAGGGAGCAGGGGCTGGGGAGTTGAGTTTAGAGGTCTGAGGGGTGCAACAGACTAAAAACTCAGTTTCCCTGACCAGGAGGTGCCAGGGGACCTAGAAAGGGGAGGGGATTGGGGGTCCCTGTCTAATGTCCTCAACCTTTCCACAGCTCCCGTTCTCTGTCATCGGCTCCCTCAATGGAGTCCACATGTTTGGGCAGAATCTCGAGGTGCAGCTGAGCTCTGCGAGGACCGAGGACACCACCGTGGTGTGGAAAAGCTTCCATGACAGGTCTCCAAGTGATAGCTTGCAGCAGGGACTGGGCCCTGTTGAAGGTGACCTCAAGGCCTTCCAGCCCCCCAAGGCCAGCTGTTACCCTCTGTGATCTCTGAGTTTCTCTGTATGAGAAGCAGGTTATGCTGGAGGAGGATGTAGCTAGCAGCCAGGATCTAGGGCAAACTACTATCCTCGCTGCCCTGTTCCCTGGACTGGACTCATTCTTCCTTCTCACCTTCCTTTCTCACAGCATCACCCTCATTGTTCTGTCATCTGAGGAGGGCACCTCGGAGCTGAGACTAGAGAGACTGCTCCAGATGGTGTTTGGGGCCATGGTGAGACTCCCCAGGCCTCTTTTGCAAACCAAGGAATCTGAACTCTCAGCATCCTTCTCCCTCAGACCCAGCAGTCCAGCCCCCAACACCTTTCTCCTCCAAAACCTAGGAATCCTGGCTCCTAGTCCCTCCTCCCTCAGATTCATGAGTCCAGATCCCCAGCCCCTGCTTTCTTCTAAGACGTCCAGGGCCCCTATTCTCTTATATGGTTCTTCTAGGTTCTTCTTGTGGGACTTGAAGAACTGACCAACATCAGCAATGTAGAAAGACTGAAGAAGGAGTTGAGGGTGAGGCTACTGATACTTGGGGACTACAGTGCCCAGCAGCCCCTGGGGCAGCCTGCCCCGTGGATTCTTGGGGCAGCTCAGTTTTCTGACCCTGGAGTAGGCCCACCCAGAAGGGCCACTTTTTTCAGGGGGAGGCAGCAGATCTAGGTGCCTCCCTTCTCCCTCTGCTAGGCCTGTTACCGCCTCATTGACAGCTTCCTGGGGGACTCAGAGCTCATTGGAGACCTGACCCAGTGTGTGGACTGTGTGGTTCCTCCAGAGGGATCCCTCTTTCAGGTATTGGGGAAGCCTTGGGAACTCTTAAACCTGACTTTATGGCCCTGTCTCAGTCCTCACCCTCTTACCCCTGGACCATTGCCTCCACCTCTTCCCATCCTCAGGACTTCCAGTCCAACCCCCACTTGGCCCCAGAAGGATCTTTATACACCCAGAGCTGACCCAGTCCCTCCCCTTAGTACAGCCCTCTTATGGCTTCCATCCCCCCCTCGTTCCCCCAGGACAAAGTCCCAGCCCTTGCGCAGTTGCCTCAGGAGTCCCACAAATCTCAACAAGTTCCCAGCTTCCCTGCCTTAGCATATGCTGTTCCTTCTGTGCGGGGAATCTCTATTTACCCTTTAAAAAATACTGCTCTTGTGGATTCGCCAGGTATGGCCACCTCCAGGAGCCTTAAGGTGGTTGATTGTACCTACTTGGCACACAGTAGGACTCAATAAACCGTAACTGCTGTTGTGATTGTTAGCTTCAGTAGCTCATGCTGGCAGGGCAGTAGATGCCTTACCTGTTTAACTTCACGATGTGGCTTGGGGATTGTAACTGCATGTGGCGATGAAGGAGCCCAGGCCCAGGGAGGGTGAGACACTTGAGCATGGCCACAAGGCAAACTTGGAATTGTATGCCAGTCTGTTCCCACTCCTCACCCATGTAGGAAGTCACTGGTATGCCGGTCTTTTCCCACTCCTCGCCCATGTAGGAAGTCACTGTGCCCCTAGTCTGTTCCCACTCCTCGCCCACCTAGGAAATCACTGTGCCCCTATTCGTGTCTCCTTGCCCAGGAAGCCCTCTCTGGGTTCGCGGAGGCTGCGGGCACAGCCTTCGCCAGCCTCCTCGTGTCGGGCCGGGTGGTGACAGCGACAGAAAGCTGGTGGCGGCTGGGGACGCCGGAGGCCGTGCTACTCCCCTGGCTGGTGGGATCCCTGCCGCTGCAGGCCGCACGGGACTACCCGGTGTACCTGCCGCACGGGAGTCCCACGGTGAGTGGATGGGCCCGGCAGAGGGAAGGTGGGGGCCTGGGACACCTGCGCACGAAGGGGTGAGACCTAGAGGCGGAGTCGCGAGGAGGCAGGGCTTGCACGGAGCTCTGGCCCGCTCACCCTGCGCCACCTGCCGCACGGGAGTCCCACGGTGAGTGGATGGGCCTGGCAGAGGGAAGGTGGGGGCCTGGGACACCTGCGCCCGAAGGGGTGAGACCTAGAGGCAGGGCTTGCACGGAGCTCTGGCCCGCTCACCCCGCGCTCCCGCTTCAGGTCCCGCACCGCCTTCTGACCCTGACGCTGCTGCCGGGCTTGGAGCTGTGTCTGCTCTGCGGGCCGCGCCCTCCCCTCAGCCA